GGTGGCGACAGCAGCCAGGTGCAAGCACAGTTGGTGCGCATTCAGCAAATCCAAGCAACTTCTGGTGCTTTTGCTGCAATCCTGGACGACGGCTCGGTGGTAACATGGGGCTGCACTCGGGATGGTGGAGACAGCAGCCATGTGCAAGAGCAGTTGGTGCAGGTCCAGCAAATTCAAGCAACTTTCCATGCTTTTGCTGCAATCCTGAACGGCGGCTCTGTGGTGACTTGGGGTGATCCTGAGGCTGGCGGTGACAGCAGCCCGGTGCAAGTGCAGTTGGCGAAAGTTCGGCAGATTCAATCAACTGACAGGGAATTTGCTGCAATCCTGGAAGATGGTTCTGTGGTGAGTTGGGGTGGTTTTGCCTGTGGCGGTGACAGCAGCCAGGTGCACGAGCAGTTGGAGCGTGTCCAGCGCATCCAAGCAACTTCTAGTGCTTTTGCTGCTATCCTGGAAGATGGCTCTGTGGTAGCTTGGGGCAACGCGGGGGATGGCGGTGATAGCAGTACGATTCAGACTCAACTTGACATGCTGTGAGATAGCAGTCTCGTTCCCTTGTTTGCCTTTGAATAGCTGGGGAAGCAAGTGAGGCAGTGTGAAGGAGGGCAGGCAGCCGGCCTGCACCAGCGTTTTCTGTTTCTTTTGCCCCACGGCATGGTATTTTGTGTGTCCTCTCGTACAATGTAGGAGGCAACTTTTTTGTTTTTTTGCTAGGAGTGGCTCGCAGCTTAGCAAGGGCTCCAAGGCTGGTTGGCTGGTTGGTTGGTTGGTTGGTTGGTTGGTTGGGCGCAAACCAGCAAAAATACAAATAACACCGCCCCTTCAGCAACAGTAAGCACAGCTGAAACAAGCCTGACGCAAGTCAGCCCGAAGCCACCCCCAAGTTTCCCCAAGGTCAACCACAAGCAGCTAAGCTCAAAAAAAACGGAGGGCCATTCTTTAAGTTTGTTTGTTTTTTTTACACCCCGTTTTTCAGGGTGGGTGGCTTTTCAGGCTTCTTGGCTTTTGTGGCATTTACGTGGGTTTATGTGGCTTTGTGGCTTTTTTGGACAGAGATTTAATTGCACCCCTATTTGAATCATCACTTCTTCGAACATCATGGGGGGGCTGCCGCCCCCCTCCAAGCCCCGCGCTCCTTTTTAGATTTTTTGTGGAGATTTAATTGCATCCCAATTCGGGTCATCACTTCTGCGAACACCATGGGGGGGGCTGCCGCCCCCCCCCCCCCATCACTTTTTCGATCATCATGCCCAACCCCCCCCGCTACTTGTTAGATTTTTTGCCCCTAGTTGAATCATCACTTTCTTGATCATCATGGGGGGGACTGCCGCCCCCCAACCCCCCCCCTACATGTTAGATGTTTTTGCCTCAAATTGAATCATAACTTTTTCGATCATCATGGGGAGGGCTGCCGCCCCCCAACCCCCCCGCTATTTTTTGGATGTTTGGCAGAGATTAAAATGCACCTCTAATTGAATCATCACTTTTCGAACAGGCATACATAAATACCTACCTACCTTGCTGGAGAGGAACTGATGATGCTGAGGATGCAGGAAGCCCTCGATTTTTGCTGGTCATGCTGGGGATGTTGGCTGGACATGCGAGGGATGTTGAAAACGATGCTGATGATGTTGACGGGCTAGTGTAAAATACGTACATGTCTTGAGAAAATGCTGTAAAATACAGCATTTTACCAAGACGGAAAAATACAATCCAAACAAATAAAATAAATCTCAACCCAAAAACAACTAATGCCAAGCGGTGGTCACGCCAGCTAGCCGCAAACGAACCAAACACCAACCCTGACAAAGCTCTAAAGCCGTCTAAAGCCTACCCGATTCCAGCCGCAAGAACTTGAGCGGCTTGAAACCAGCCCTGCAACGCAGAATGGCGCTCATGCCTGTCTTGCGGTGGCAACAGATCTGGTCACAGTCACAGTGCTCACATGCAGCCACTTCTTGTAGCGAGCCACTCCTAACAAAAAGCCACTCCTAGCAACAAAAAAAACGTCGCGACCGGTCCCTGACGACAAGGGTACTCGGGCTGGGGCATACGGGGACCTGTGTTTGGGTCCATAATTCTACATATCCGCCAGGCCCAGGCATTTGATTTCTGAAAGCGTGTCAAAAGCACCTGGCAATCCGTCTGCTAAAGCAAAGCTAGCTTAGACTATTCCACCTGTTCTCAATCGCCTATTTGTCTCTGGTGATTTCCCGGGAGAAGGTCATGACTGGTATCAAACTTCCAGATGGAAGCAATCGAGGATGGGGCGAAGCTCATCGTCTGCACCATGCAGCTGCCAGGGACCCAGCAAGGCCGCGACGAGCTCGTCGGAAGACATGTAAACGCTCCATTTGGCATGGACGTTAAATGCTTGGTGTTGGTTTGCGTGGTTCTCAACATGAGAAAAGCTCATGTCTAAAGCCTTTGACTCTGCGCTCGTCCAGATTGAATATAGGAGTTTTGCTGGGCTTTCTTGCAGGTGTCCTGTCCCGGTTTTCATCATGTACCCTCGCACAAAGTGGCAAGGCAATTTGTGTGAAGGTAATGGTTTGCTGCCGACTCTTTTGCCGCAGCCTGTCGATTCGCGCAGCATTTGGTGTCGATTCGCGCAGCATTTGGCTCAGCCGCATTTAACAGAATGACTGCACCAGTGCAGACACTGCCTTAGTCAGCGAGTCTTGAAACCCACGAGCAGCTTCTCAAGCGAGGCGCGTCAGTCGCACCAGTACAATAAGACAAGGATCAGAGACGGATTTGGTGGAGATATTGCGCGTTTGTATCCTGATGAGTAGCTGGTTTTGGTTGGAGCGAGCTTAGGACCAGATTGACTAGGTCCCCTAGTAGTGCCCTTTTACCCTTTTTCGGGGAGGGTTCCCCTACTAAAATAGACTACAGAAATCAGGGCACCCTTATTCTAACCTCTCTACTGGAGGACCTAGTTGAACTTCGCAGCCAAAGACCCAGAGGCAATTCTGCCAATTCACGCCTTGGCCATGCGGTCCAGTGCTTCTGGATCCATTGCAGGCCTGGTACCACACCCGGCGGCCGTCAAGGGTGGCCTTCCATGACTGCACCTGTGGACCATGTTCCGCGAAAAGGGACGCTTTGGTGGGTTGCATGTTGGAGAGTTCCAAGGATATCAAGGATCAGGTCTAGACAGGCATGGAGCAAGGCCTTTGGCTGGAGCAAGGCCAGTTTCGCCGGCGAAATGGTAGGCAAGACCTTGGCCAGTGGTGTAAACCTAACCAAGGATTGGCCATTGATAATCTTATTTGTTTTCCATAAGTGTAAGCAATTTGGGTCACTTGCTTAAAGGATTCTTCATGAATTACAGCCTGTGTTTAAAGCTTGAGGCTTGTCAGCACCAGACGGGTCGCCTGCCCTTCTGCCACATCAGATGGGAGATAGGTGTTGCCAAAAGCTGCTGTGGTGCGTGCTTCCTTCAATCTTCCAATCATTGTAAGGGAACCAGCAGCAGTTGCCATAGAAAACACAAACTGCCACGTTTGGATTGACCACAATTCACTGAACGCCCCATAAAATCTGACAGGCTTCCGCATCACTTGACTCCTCTAATCATTTTTGGCCTGGGTTAGACATGTTCCGCTTCGGGCGCAAGGCGAGACCGACCTTCGGGGGAAGCTCGCTGCCAGGCAAGTGTGCGCTTGAGGTTTGGGCGGGTGACAAATTTACTGATGTGGGGGGGTTCTCAAAATGGGGAACACCGTTTTGGGTGTTTTTGGAGGGATGCCAAAAGGCCACCCAAACGTGTTGGGGGTTCCCCATTTTGAGAAACACCCAGCCTATATATATATATATATGTTCTTAGCTGGGGGAGGACATGGGAAAATCGACATATGTCCAATGTCCCACAAAAGCCAGGGTTGATTGACTTCAGGCTGTTCGTCCAGAAACATGTAGTAGGCAAAAAAAATAGACAGAAATGGCACTCTGGCAATCCTGCTTCATCGGCAGACTGGTTTGCACGCAGATTGGCAATGGCTACCTTAAATTTAGCAATTCCACGGAATTCATTCCAGGTCTCGTGGTTGTTTAGGGGTGCCCTGGTTGATTGAATTGAAATAACGATTCCATAGAATCGGCGAAGTCAACAGTGAATGTTTGTGAAACATGGTTTTCGCCAATTCAACGCTTTTTTCCGTGGACCGCAACTGGCACCACTTTTCCAAACTTGCTAGCAACAGCAGCAACATCAGCCTTCCACGCACGAAGCTCTTTGCGATGCGCCCTCTAAATTTGAAAGCTTGAAAGCTCCCGAGATCACATAAGCGACGCAATATTCAATATGTCAGACAGAGTAAATTTGCAGCCTTGACAAGCGCCACCAACAAGCTCCGCTGAAAAAATGGCTCGTTCAATATCATCAAAACAACTGCGAGGCGAATGTGACAAAGTAGCATGCAAGGAATCATGACATACAACAGCTCTCACGAAACGGTCCAGTGCTAACCGAATTTTCAGACTCAGTCCACCGCCTTCCACGTCTAACATGAAGGCGATCAACGCATCTATGGCCCCCGCTCGTCTCTCAAAGTCTCAGGCTGCGGGTCTGCATCCTGGGGGGCACGGCTTTCTTGAACACGGAGTCCTCGGAGTTCCTGAAGGTAGGGAGCAAGAGGAGAAGGGTCTTCCTGGTGCAAAACCGACCCCGTGGACCTTGTGCTTTTGCCCTTTTGGCACATGTTTAGGCGTGGCCCCCAAAGGTTCAACCTTTATCTGCCAGGTCTTTTAGGCAAATCAGCTTTCTGACGCCCACAAACTGGAGCAAGCAAACCGCCGCCGCGCAGGGTATGACGGATGCCTGAAATATTGCAAGTGGAGCCGAACACCCTCCCATGACCACGTTATGTTTTGTAGACAAAAGATTGCAGCCGAATCAGCGAACATGATTTTTCGCTGAAGTTTCATCTTCACCCAGATGAAGGAGACACCTCCAGCCGTGCCCAGTGGTTGGCTTCCTGGCAAATGGTAGGGGCATGGACCTGCTTGGGGGCCACTCCTTTGCACTTCGCAAGAAACCGCTGCGAGACACTCTGCCAGGTCTTCGCGTGGTGACCCCAGCAAGAAAGACGTGACAGCACTAGACGGGTTGCCTCAAAATAGGGAGCCGCCATGGGCGATTTGCCTTTGATCCCAAAAGGGGATCTTCAAAAAGGTGACGCACCCATGTGGGGTGGACCTAGTCGTCTCTCCTGGCGGACGTTTTGAGGTCCGAGCTGCACGAGCGCTTCGCCGGCGAGGGCATCCTCTTCATCACCTGCGGGCAGCCTGGTATCCAGGCGGAGCCGGGGACCTGATTGCCACCCCAAAATGGTGGAACGTGGTTCAGCCACGGACCACTTCTATTCTTTTGTCGGTGTAGATGTGTTTTTTTACTCCCCAGTTTTCCATTTGTGGGTGTAGATGTTTTTTTTCTTCTCATTTTGGCGTGTCCTCCCACAATGGTGTTTTTTTTCTTTTGGTGCCCTATCGTCAAAACCCAAATATCACAAACCCGGATTCAGCTAACCCCCCCCTCTCCACAGAGACTTAAGGTCAAATGGCAATGACAAGCTCGTCGTTTTTTTTTTTCGTCGGCAAAGGGTTGATGGTTGCCGAGGGCAAACGCCGGCCATGCTTTCGCGCACCCTTTGAAGGCCGCAAACAGCTCAGAGACTCATACTTGCTCTGAAACCACCATGTCAACAAAGCCCATGGCTTGCATTCCGGCGTGCGTGGCAATGCGCAAGCATGTGCAAACTGGGACTATCTCACTAAGGGAGTGCCGGCAAGGGAGGAAAACGGGTTACCAAGTCCGTAGTCCAACTTCTGCCCCATGGACCATTTGGGAGAGACATGCGAGGGCCACTCTACAATTCAGCCACAACCAGGAGTCTATCTACTTAAACACATGTCCACAGAGCGCTTTTTCGCGGATTTGATGGAGAAGTTTTCTGCGCCAGGAGGTCTTTGCGAAGCACTGTGGGGACGGCTCCCTCATCAGGCTGTCACGAGCGCGGAGTGTGGGTTTGCTTCAAAAATTGGACGCAACAAGGAAAATAACATGTGCCGTCCTTTAGCTCCTGGCTGTTCGCTTTTGTTGAAAGTTGATTTGCTTGCTAGAAGGCACTCAGGCCTGGTGCTTTGGCGAAAGCATGCCAGTAAAAGGGACAGGATTTTAAGGTCTGATTCCAGTCATTCTGTTTGTTGTTCTCCACTTTTCTCAGGAGACTCCATGAGATGACTCCGCCTCAATTTTGAGGCTTGATCCATTGTTTGACCTTCGTCCGACCTGGCCAGCGCGCAAATAGGAGGTCTCCAAGCAAGTGCCAGATGACTAATGGAAACACATCTCCAGCTTTCAATGACCGTTGAAATCCCTTTTTGGGCGGGTGTCCCACTAAGAAGGATCAACCCGCACCAGCTTCACTAGGTTGGGATCCAGCCAGTTGTCATTTGCAACAAATGAGGATGTCTGAAACGAAGCGAAAGCATACAGCTACACTTCTGCGTCAACAACAATGGCCCGGGCTTGTCTCACACTGAGTGACTCCGCTGATTGTTTGCTTCTTTCGCTGTCCCCTTCGGACAAGCAAGGAAGGGTTCATCATTTTGATGCAGAACAAGTCCTTGATCCAAAGCTCATCAGGTAGCTGCTAAAGATTCATGACTTACACCTTGCTTATCATTGAGGCGTTTGGATTTAATTCCCCTGCAAATGGGTGACAATGGTTTTCCGAGGAAGGAACAACGGTCCATTCCAAAAAGGCAGACTAATATGGCAAGGAGCTTAACGTTAGCACGACTCCAGGCAAATTCGAGGGACAGCAGCCGCTATTTTGGAGACAGACCTGTGGATTTGAACGCGTGCACATTTGAGCCATGCTCTTTTGGCGCAATCAAACAGGGTGCTGGAAGAGGTTGGGACACTGGTACATTTGTGTGTGTGTGCGTTTTTTTCTTGAGGCTATCCTTTCTACGGTTGGTTCAAACACCGTGATTGTGGGTCCTCCAGTTTTTTAATTTACCCATCTAGCTCGCATTTGCCAGGAATCTGCTGGTGGCTGGGGAGTCTGCACACTTCCGGGTGGGCCAGGAGGGTGGGGGCACTGGGAACGGGTGCAAGCATCGCCGGACTTGGCTGCTCAGGGAGTATGGGGAAGGGCAAAAGTCAGGTTTTGTGACTATAGTTGGTGGTTTGGAGTGGTGGTTTAAGGATTTGAACCCCTGGTTCTTGTAGAGGGTAAATGGGAAACCTCGAAACCACCCTCTCCACCACCCAAACCACCAAACCAAACCACCAACTAGGGGAAACTGAAAAAGCGGCTGTGCCTTAGTTGGAATGTTGGCATCCTCTATGCGATGTAACAGTCTGCGGTCCCACGCCTTGCACGAATCCTTCGCCTGGAAGCTAGCACTTGCCGAGGGTCTCGTGTGTTTCGCGCTACAGTTTTTTTAGACGTGAGGACCTGCTGGCGGGCAGAGATGCCGAGCAGGTGAAGAATCTCTTCTTGGAGGTGGGCGATGTCTACATCACCGTGGAGGCGGTGCCATCTCAAAATCTGAGCTTCGTGGGGCCGAGAAATGGCCGAGGTGAGCCATCCTAAACAGCTGAACTCACGGGGATTCGGTTTCCTAGCACAGAATGTGACCTACCCACGTTTCCACAATGGGGTCATTCCAGTCAGTGAGGAGCAGGCAACAGGGTTCTTGTGTGTTTGCTTGGGGTTGGTACATGGGGCTAAATATGTTCAGGCACGTGTTCTGAGCATCTTTGCTGAGCCCGTACGGGCTCGGAGACATGGCCCATCTTTTCCAGAAAATCATCTCATCGAGCTCATGATTTTGCATCTCGCACATTTGCTGGCCACATGTTTCAAACTGAGCCATCCCGCTTACGTCGGCTCCCCCTACCCTTGCCCCCAGGAATGACCAAAATGGGCCGAGCCGCCAGATTAGGGATGTGCTGACCCCGCCTTCGCGCGACCAACTGCCAAGTGGTCTCCTGTGCTGGCGCGAACCTCCAATTCTTGATACCCCTTCTTGCCGGCAACTTACACACTGCGCTCCGTGACTCACGGCCGCTGCCTCAACCGGCGCCAGCGCACGCAACAGACCCGAAGTTCCCAGGAGCCTGCAAACCTCGGCCTTTTTGCAACTCACGGGATTGACCTACCACGAGGCCGCAGAACCAACCCGCAGCCATCGGCAAGACAAACAACCTGCTCCGCAGGTCTGGCAAATCTTGGGAAAAGTCTCGGGAGTTGCTCGCTATGCTCGCAGATCTGGGTTGAAAGCGCAAGCCGTCTTGCTCTTGGTGCTTGAAACACTTTTCGACCCAACAAACATGAGCTGCGTCATTCCTGTATCGAAAGCGTTGGCATCGGCTGCCAACAGTAGCGTAATGCGGGGTTATTGCAAGATTGGGTGAGCCCCTGCATTTTTGCACCGCCTGGATCAGCGAAGGTTGTAAGACTGGACTGGTTTGACTTGACGTTTTGCACACAGCCCCGCACTTAAGCTTGAGCGCGCTTGTGTTGAAACCGCATGAAACCGCCTTGAACCGCCTAGCGCAGACATGCAACTCATTCTCCAAGGAGCTTCAGAGGTAAATTTCAAGTGGCTGGGTACTGCACCCGATGTGTGAGAGAGACCACACTCCCACCTCCAATACGTGCAAGAGGAAGAAGAAGAAGAAGAAGAAGAACAAGAAGAGCTTTCGGGAGGGACACTTTTCGCACATGTCATATTCGTTGAGTACAACTTTGCTCAGACTACTGTCATATAGCTCCCGCAAGAGGGGCTCTGACTATTCCATTTCTGTGGATGTCTCGCCCGGCGCCGCTCACAGCTCCGCAGGGCGGGCCCGGAGTGGCGCAGGATGCGCGGAAGGCGCGGCCGGGATAGGCCCTCTTGACGCTAAAAGGGAACGCTGGTCTGAAGGTGTTGGGCCCTTTTGTTCTTTTGAAAGTTGAGACTCTTTTTGTGGGCGCACAACCAACGGGCAAACGATAACTAGGTGTTTTCTGACTTTGGGGGGCTTAATTTGTTTGGAGCAAAACCAACAGGCAATCGAGAAAGGGACATCCTGGTTGTCCCGTGGCCACTCGCCAAGAAAGGCCAGTTGGAATTGTAAACCGCGCTTCTGCTATGTCAAAGTTTCACCTCCGCCTTAGCAAAGCGCTTGTGGGAAGCTGACTTTGCAGTGGTGGAGTCCAGGTTCCGAGCCCTGTTTCCGAGGTTTTTCTCAAGGAAGGCACCTGCAGAATCCTGCACAGATGTCTTCCAAAGACCACAGGCAAACCAACTGGGGCCGGCAAGTGGCCCAACGCTTGAGCCTGACAGGGGTGAAGAAATGTTGTTGCTGTACAGTTTCTTGCCTGTGGGCGGTGCGCAGCCTCATGTTGAGACGGTGACTACCGCATGTTGAACTGCGCTCATTGATTTGGGCACGTTCCACCAGAGGGGGCAGCAGAGGCCTCTTGTCAGAGAGGGGCAGCTTGATATTGAAAGTTTGGAACACACCCTTTTGAAATCTTTTGAAGAGACTCTTCGGCAAAACCATTGGTTTCGGTTTAACACGATGGCGCGAAGGGCCCGACTTGACCTGCAGGTGCTAGCCCGGGGTGCGACAGTGCTGCCGCTGAAGCGCACAGGCGGGAGAAGGGGTGAAAGGATCCCAAGTTTCTCTCAGCATAAATCTGTGGCAAAAGGATACTTGCTGGTGCTCAGCGAACGAGGGAATGACCCTATAGCCAAGTGCAAGCTTCGTTGAGAGCAAATGTCCATTATATATATATATATTATATACATATGTATATGTATATTAACATGTGTATATATAATATATAGTAATATGGATATGGGCTGTAAGCTCTGGCCAGGCGCGGACAGAACATCCAACAACCTGTCTGGGCGAAAAGGATCCGTTTGCTCCCAGGCAAGACATCTGATCGATTGGTTCTGCGTTTGTTGCACACCCAACATCTGAACCATGGAGCCTTCATCACGAAGAATCAGAAGGTGATGTCGAAGAAAATCAAAAAAAAAGGATAATTACGATCTGCTTGTTCTGTTCCCACCCGGAAAAAAAGAGAGGCCGCTCTGCTGGTGTTGTGTACCATGCTTCGGCACTCCAAACGGAAGTTCCACGGAGCGCATCCTGCGGGTCGAGGGGTCCCGTGGCCCGTGCCTTTCCAGGCGGCGCCAGCGCGGGGAAGTTCGACTTCCCGGAGAAGGCGCTGGCGCCCAGCTTCGTGCCCGAGGAGAGGGGGTGCAGCCGAGCCGACGGGTCCGACTTACGGGTAACCCGGGTATGTTTTTGTTGATGGGGATTTGGATTGGAGCACCGAAATTGCAGTTGTTTTGATGTGTAAAGATGGGGATTTGGATTGGATTTGCGAAATTGCAGTTCTCTCAGTTTCCATTTTTGGTTTTTCTATTTGCAGAAATCAAGGTGAAGCTACCCAGAGTGGGCTCTTTCACATGTGGCGACGTCATTATGTTTTGCCAGACTGACGACCGGCCGTCAAGCGATTGAGAAGGGAAGCTGGTATCAAGGGGTCTGCCGCTTGCTGGTAAGGCTGTCAAACTTTCAGGCCAAAGAAGAGTTGGTGAATGTAAAGAACATGAACAAGGAAGACACATGCATGCCAGACGTTCACTTACCCATGCTCTCTTGCCCAGTGGTGCCCGTTTTTTCCTTTTTTTGGGGGAAAGGTTCCCCTTAAAACTCAAGCAACTAAAAGAGGGTGCCCTTTTTTCTCATGGCCACTGGGCATCTGAGCATAGAAAGACAAGCATGAAGGGACGGACCTCGTCTGACGTAGCTCCAGAGTGGGTTTGCCTCTTCCCAGGGTTTGCTCTTACAGGGCAAACCCACCTTGGGCAATATGAGATTCCTACAAAGTCTATTTGGGAGGGAAAGGGGGGGGACCAGCTCTAAGTTTCAACCACCAAAGCCAGTTCAAACCCATGGGACTCAGTCCAATCTTCTTTACTTCACTGCATATGTTGACCGCTATTTGGAGAAAAAAAAAGGTCTCTGGGGTCTTCGTTTTGTCAAAAGGGGGGTCTTTTTGCCACCTTTTCTGGCAAATATTTCGACCCCCTCGTAGTGAAGGATTCCCTTTTAGGGGGGTCGCCAATTTTCTCGCAAAAGGTTTCAAAACGACCCCCTTGGTTGTCCAGCGAAACCCATGGGGGAAGCGCATTTTTTCGTCGGGTCCCCGTCTGGGCCCAGGAGCAGTGGGCGCGGCTCGGCCGCAGCACCACGCCGCTGCAGGAGGCTGCAAAGACGGCCGGGGATGCCCAGCTCGGGGATGGGGCGAGGTTTGGTCCCGCCTGATACTGTGGATGGACAAAGTCCATTTCGCGCCACCTGAGAAACCCTGGTTTTTGATGATTCCCCTGTAAATACCGGTGAACACGAGTTCCAACCATGGTTTCCAAGTGGTGCAGGATTTCGTCCATCCACAGTAGGGTGCCCGCGCCATTTCCCACAAGTGGCCAACTTGCCTTTGAAGGGGACATTTTTTAGGGAATTGCCAAGGGGTGTCTGGGGGTTTCCGAGCCATTTCCCTTTGTCCTCCGAAAGTGGCAAATGGAAACCACCAGTCCATATTCGGCTTTTGGTCACCTCGGTCTGAAATCTTTGGTTTGCTGAAATGATGGTAAAGATTTGGATCCTAGGCTTATAGAGTTGAACGTTGACCAGGTTTGGATATTGTAGCTTTGAAGGAAGCCTGGGTGCGGGGGGGGGGGACGGTCTATTCTGCATGTTTGGAAACTTTGTGGTTGGCTGGACAATGCACTAAGCGTTCATGGCACGGGGGGAATTGGTGGCATTGAAAATGGAGCTTGAAGCTTGAAGCGGCACGTTTTTGGCAGGTTGTGGATTCCGGAAACCGAATTGAACGTAAGCTCCTTGCTGAGTAGTAGACTGCAGGGAAACTCGAGTTTGCAGTTTTCCTCAATGCAGCCTCTGGGTCGGGCCACCAGGGGGATCTTGTTGAAGGACTAGGTTTTTTGGTTTCCCAAAGCGCGCATCCGAGATGTTTGGGCTATCGACTGTACAAAAGGGTGCTCCTGTTCTTTGGTGGCCTGAAGGGGATTACGCATGACTGGGCAATCATTTGTAGACAAAACATGAGCTCACCTTTAGTAAAGCGAGCTCAGTCCTTGAAGATGTCTAGTTTCAACTAGACAGTCATGACTACTTTGGTCATCTTTTTGCATTACTTTTGTAGAGTCAGTGGGATGAAACAAACATTTGCTACCGATCTGAACCGCCCAGTGAGCGGATGACCATCAGGAACACCAAATACAAGATGACCTTCACCACATGGGAAAAGCGACGGGTCATTTTGGGGCCTTAAATAATATTGATCAACCCCCGGTGTCTTTTTTCCGCGTGAGCCCCGGCATTGCCGAGGCCGTGGAGGTGATGGTCACCATCTTCGAGGTGCGGGACATGTCTCGGCCGCCCGAAAACACGTGGGACGGGGACGGGTCCGAAATGCGAGACCAAACCACGCGGTTCTTTTAATTAGAATGGAACCTGACGTAAAAGGGGGGTCCTGGTTTGGACCATGGTTCCATGTGAATTCATGGGAGGGTATGCGCCCTTTTGATTCTTTACCACGGGGTTTGGGTAGAACCTTTTTGCAGCAGTTGCATGTGAGACGAGGGACACGTGCCAGTTTGCTGTGGGAAGCAAAAGGGGGCGGCAAGTTGTCCTACTACGGTTGTCAAAACATGCAGCAATGCATCAAGCAAATCGCAAGCCCACAGCAACAACAGCTGCACAGACAACAACACACAGTATGGCTTGCTGCGGTTTGTTTCAGAGCAACGCCAGGCGCTTTGGATATAGCCTTGAACTCAAGGAGTAAACCACAGCCAACAAGGGGCAACCAGAGGGCAGTCGCAGTCAAAGTCTAGTGGGCTGTTTAGGGGTCAGGGCTGGATGTTCTACTGAGAGAGTTGCACGCATCAAGCATGCGCCAACAAGTCGTTCGTGTGGCATAGTGACTGATCAAGAAAGGTCCGTTTGACTTCGAGGGTATATACCATTTTTGATTCAAAGGACCGTCGACAAGGCTTCACCGCGGCAGAAACCAACCGCAATGTGTGTCCACGGGCGGTCCGTTGGCCAGTTGGTGCCGAAAACTGAAATGCGGGCCCGCACGCCTGGCATCCCCTCCGCCAGGATCAGAGCCGCACTACAGCGATCCTCGGCTCAGATTCGGGGGAACGTGGCTGAGCGGCTATGGAGTTGCCACACTGACCGAGCGGCAGCATTTTGGAGACCTGCTTTGGACGGGGAGATGTGCCTGAGCCAGGGCTGCGAAACACGAGAACGCCTGACAAGATCAACGCACAACCTGTCTTAGATTTGACATCTCAGCGCACATGATACGGTCAAGACCCCAAGCACTGCCAATGGGAGCAAGGGTTCCCACGCAATGTTTGGCCACAGGTGTATTTGACCTGCGTGGAAATGTTTGTGTCATTGTTCGAGGGGAACTCTATGTGGTGTCAAAAGGAAATGAACAGGCACACTGAGCTCATGCCTGGGCTTTGGTTTTGCTTTCCGTTTAGGCAGCGGGTGACCATGGAAATCTCGAGCATCGCCGGGCGCCCAAAGCCAGCGAAGATTCGCCGGGGCCTGTTTTATGGGCTCAGGTCGTGGTTGTGTTGGGAAATCAAAGGGAAGCCCTTACTTTTGGGAAGGTTCCCTCCTTCTGAGACAAGCCCAGAAGCATGGCCCCTGTCAGGAATCTTGTCCAGAACAAGATCCTGCACAATCATTAAGAGTCTTACTCGCTTCTGGATGAAAATGACGTTCGAACCAGTTAAATCATGAGCACATGCCATGTGGTTTGAATTGTTCTGGGCTAGGCCCCAACGCTGAACACCTACAAACCATTGGCATGGTGATTGTAAGAATCCCACAGCCATGATACCACATGACACCATATTGATCGACTAGGACATCCTGCCAGAAATTCAGTGAGGCACCAGTCAGTACGACATTCTCAGGAGTGCCCAGTCGGCACCATTCAACTTGAAGACAATTCCAAAAAAGGGGGTACCAATTACCAATTCCAACAAAAGGCACTCAACTAGCTTGATGAAGCACCGGGAATCAATTCGAGGCGAAATCCATGGACCAAATTGCTATGACAGCAAGAATCCAGGAATTCCTTGCTTGAGCACAAATCAACTCAATGTCCAGAGTGAATGAGCGCTCAGTGCATTCTTGGAAATCGGTGCTTGCACGTGTTTTTTTTTCATCATTCACATTACATAGAAGATACCCATACTACTTGTTTTTTTCTCATTCTGATTTTGCAAGGGGGAATGTGCTTGTTCATGTTGCAATGATTCCCAGTTCGCTCCAGTTGGGATGGATGGAACCCTCTGAAATTTGCGGGACAACCGACTAGCAAGAGGTGCCCGGCATGGTTTCTGTCCATTTGGAAACACGGCAGGCCTCGCATTTTTCCCCAACGGCTTCCCCTTTCGGAATGGCTTCCAGATCGCGCCACGTATCCGAAGCAGGACAGCGACATGCTCAGTTGGCCCAGCACCTTCACACCAGCACAGCGTGCCCGGAGGAGAGACGGCATGCGCGTGGATATGCCTGAAGCAGGGTGGGGCATTGGTTTGCACTTTCCGGAAGGGAGCTCCCTTTTGGTTGGTTTTACACAAGCTAAAAGGTCGGCCATCAGTTTGCGGCCACAGACAGACTCAGAATGCGTTAAGCCGCTTTTAGTGGGGTAGGTCCTTGGGGGCCACTGTCGACCATGATATGATGTTTCCATCGTGAGAACATTCCAATACTTGTGCTAGAATCTCCTTTCTATCGCAACTTTAGTGATGTCCACCTTGGGTTGATATTGGCACCCTGAAGCCACCTGCTTTAGGCAGGCCACACCATGCACCTGCTTTCAACATACGGGAGCTGTGTTTGGTGGCAGGTCTTGCTTTTTGACCTCCGCGTGCTCATCAAAACCGTGTTCCCGCTTTGGACACAACTTGAACGAACTGCCTGCGGGGGAATTGTGACCCTTCGTGTATTCCAAGTTGAGGGCTCGAGGACAGCCTCTGCTTAAGACGCAAGTCGCGTCTTTGCCGAGTGGGAGGGCAGCTCCGTGGCTGTCAAAGGAGTCGCGCATCCGCGAGAAGGTTGAGGCACAGCGGCGGTTCACGCGCCGCTTTCTGAGGCTTGCTTTCAGAGGACAGCTTGATGCGTCTACTTTGAGTGAGGCAGGCTTGCGAGATGGGGACAGCGTTGATGCTATTGTGCAGCCTCCAAGGCTAGCTTCCACAGCCAGAGATTTTGCGCTTCACGCCGTGGGAGGCACTGCACTTTTTTGGGGCGATCTTGATTCGGCCGGGTGCAAGGTTCCAAAGCAGCAGGCGCGTATCAAGCAGATCCAAGCCACTTGGAACGCTTTTGCTGCCCTTCTGGACGACGGCTCTGTGGTGGCTTGGGGCAATCCTGTTTGTGGCGGTGACTGCAGCCAGCTGCAAGAACAGTTGGTGGGTGTTCAGCAGATCCAAGCAACCTGGAGTGCGTTTGCCGCCATCATTGACAACGGCTCTGTGGTGACGTGGGGCCTTGATTTCTGCGGCGGCGACAGCAGGCAGGTGCGAGAGCAGTTGGCGGGGGTCCGTCAGATCCAGGCAACTAAGCGTGCTTTTGCTGCCATCCTGGACGACGGCGCTGTGGTGACTTGGGTCGATCCTGGCTATGGCGGTCAGAGCAGGCAGGTGCAACAACGGTTGGTGGGTGTTCAGCACATTCAAGCAACGGAGCGTGCCTTTGCTGCAATTCTGAAAGACGGCTCTGTGGTGACTTGGGGTGATGCTGACTATGGCGGCAGCATCCGGATGCTAGGTGAGTTGGTGGGTGTCCAGCAGGTGCAAGCAACTTGGAGTGCCTTTGCGGCAATTCTAAAGGATGGGTCTGTGCTGACTTGGGGAAAGCCTGATTCTGGCGGTGACAGCAGCCAGGTGCGAGAGCAGTTGGTGGGGGTCCAGCAGATCCAAGCAACTTGTGAAGCTTTTGCCGCCGTTCTGGAAACTGGCTCTATTGTGACTTGGGGCAGGCCTGACTTTGGCGGCGACATTGGAAGGATTAGCAGAAGGATTCAGACTGAACTTGACTGGCTGTGACGCAGACTTGCTCACGTTCTCTGCTGTGATGCGGTGCTGCTCTCTAGAGCAGTGCATTGCGATGCCTTTGCTTGCAGAGGCAGCATGCTGGCAGAGCTTTGATTTTAATTTAAATCGTCATGGCGGTTCTGCTGTGGCCACACAACCGGAACAGTTGTGATTCCGCTGATTTTGCGAAAAACCTGCTGACATAGACAATTTTGGAGAATGCCAGTTCCCACGCTAAAGCGTAGAAAGCCCCTGTGTGTTCTCAATCAGGCCTCCAAAATGGTTAGTTACGGTTAGTTACCTTTTGTGTGTTTTCAGCTTGTTTTCCTGCAACAATCAACCTGGGTTCCGCATCATTTTCTGGCACGTCCATCCCAGGGATGTTTCGGACTTGTCCCTGCCCATTCCAAAGAATCATAAGGCTTCCCAAGGGAGCCATGCCGACCTTTGACCATTCTGGGGGAAATCAACGTGAGAAGGGCGGCACTTGGGTGACTTTGATCGGAAAAGAATGGGGCATGACCCAAGAAGTTCACATGGGAATGTCTCAAAACAGGAGACCTTCCCCCCCCTCCGCCCCTCCGCCCCGCAAATGGGGTTTGGGTTTGCCTTGAGAGGGAGGCCCGCATTTTGATGCTCTTAGCCGGTTTCCTGCAAAGGCTGGCCGGTCCGTAGACTTTGCTTTTTGGTCGTTTTTAACATCACATGTTGGGCCCGTTTAAGGTGAGGTTCCCTTGGCAGGGGTCTTTTTTAGGGGAGACATATTAATATGGGGAGTTCTGAAACAGACGGGCGGATTTTCCCCTGAAACTCAACGATGGACAAACCGTCCGCATTCCCCGAATTGCGAGAAAGCGGGCCTTCCCAGCCAAAGCCAGGCTGCTCACCCAATGTAATATGTTCTGAAATGTCCGCCTTCGCCTTGAAAATCCACCTAAGAGGATCCTTCACTCTGAGCCCCTTGTTTGTGCTTCACCAACTCGTGATGGGAAAGCTACAGTGTCGGAGCACCCGAGGCCATTGACCAGGTTTTTGAATCCAACTTTGCCCACCCTCTCTTTGCGTGGTGGCTATGCTTTCCGTGCACGTGTGCTTGCCAAGTGCGAAGAGCTGCCGCGTTGCACTGCCTCCGGACTCGAGCGTTCGCGAGCTGAGGGCTGAGGCGCAACAGCAGTTGCAGTTGCAGCGCGGCTTTCTGAGGCTTGCCTTCGCTGGCCAGCAGCTAGATCCGTCAGCTAGGCTGAATGAGGTGGGCGTGCAAGATGGGGACACCATTGATGCCGTCGTGCAGCAGCCCGTGAGGCTAGCTTCCACAAATGCAGCTGTTACGCTGTATGTTCCAGGTGGGGCAGCGCTTTCATCGGGCCTTCTTCAGTATGGCGGTGACAGCAGCCAGGTTCAGCAGCAGTTGGTTCGGGTCCAGCAGATCCAGGCAACTGACCGAGCTTTTGCTGCCATCCTGGATGACGGCTCTGTCGTCACATGGGGCAGGCCGGAAAGCGGCGGTGACAGCAGCCAGGTTCGAGAGCAGTTGGTGCACGTCAAGCATATCCAAACAACTGCCGCAGCTTTTGCTGCTATCCTGCATGACGGCTCTGTCGTGACTTGGGGTGATTCTGCGTTTGGCGGTGACAGCAGCCAGGTGCAAGAGAGGTTGATGCGAGTCCGGCAGATTCAATCAATGTATGATATGTTTGCTGCCGTTTTGGATGACGGCTCT